GGGGTGCGGGGGCTGCTGCCGGGGCTGGGAGGCTGCGAGCAGCGCGGGGGCAGGGTGGGGCGCGGTACAGCCTGACGGACGCCCACACACACGCGCAACACACACACACGCCTACCAACCTCTCCCACACACCCTCTCCCCCACGCCCCCTCCCCACGCACACCCTCCCCCATGCATGCCCTCCCACAGACACGCACACCCTCTCCCACACACTGCTACCCCCCCACCCCGCACACACCCCGCAGGTGCTGACCCCCGACCTCAAGGCCCCCGGCGCCTCCCGCCTCCTCCACGTCGACCTGGCCGCCGGGCGGCGGCGCCTGGGAGGCTCCGCCCTGGCCCAGGCATACGGCCAGGTGGGCGCCTGGCTGGGTGGCGCCGTGTGTGTGTGTGTGTGTATGTGCGTATGTGTGTGTGTGTGTGCCGCACCGCAAGGAACCGCCCTGCACCCTGACGCCATCCCCCACTCTGCGCCCGCCGCGCTGTGCCTGCTGCGCCAGGTGGGCGACGCCTGCCCTGACGTCGACCCCGCGCTGCTGGGCGCCGCCTTCAATGCCACTCAGCGACTGATTGCGGAGGGGCGGCTGCTAGCAGGCCACGACATCTCGGACGGCGGCATCGCCACAGCGGTGAGCTGGCGCCAGCCGGGACGCCCCTGCCGCCGCCGGTGGCGCTGCTGGTATTTCTTGCTGCTGCTGGTGTTGCTGCTGCCGCTGCCGTGCCCCGCTGCTGCTGCCCCCTGCTGCTGCCCCCTGCTGCCGCGCCACACATCCACACACTCAAGGACCCTCCCGTGCCGCCTTGTACCGCCCGCCCGGTACCGCAGATCCTGGAGATGGCCTTTGCCGGCAACTGCGGCGTGGCGGTGGACCTGCCTGCTCCCGCTGCCGACCCCCATGGCGAGCTGGCGGTACTGTTTGCCGAGGAGCTGGGCTGGGTACTGGAGGTATCTGAGGAGCAGGAGGCGGCGGTACTGGCGGCGTACGTGGCAGCGGGGGTGCCCTGCGCCGCCATTGGCGCCAGCCGCGCGGGCGCGGAGGTGTCGGTGGCGGTGGGCGGCGGTACCGCGGCCATCGCCGGTACCACCCCGGCCCTGCGCGACACCTGGGAGGCCACTTCCTTCCAGCTGGAGCGGCTGCAGTGCGCGGAGGAGAATGTGGAGGCCGAGGCGTCTGGGCTGGCGGCGCGGGCGGCCCCCACCTGGCGCCTGCCCTACACCCCCGCCTGGACGCCACCTGACAAGCTGGCGGCCACGGGTGGGTGCCACCCTGGGTGCAAGCCCGCCGGCCGTGCAGCCTGCGCCGTGCAGCCAGGCCCCGCCCTCGTGCCCTGCTGCCCGCTGCCGCCCTGCTGCCTGCTGCTGCCCTGGTGCCTGCTCCCACCCTCCTTCCGCCCCCGCCTCTTCCACCTCACCTCACCGCGCCTCACCTCGAAACCTGCCTCCCACCTGAAACTCACCGCACCTCACCTCAACTCCCTTCTCTTACCTCCACCCCGCCTGCCTCTCGCCCCGCCCCACCCGTCCCTGCCCACCTCCGCTGCCCCACCCACCCCCCCACCCACCCCCCATTACACCCCCCATTACACCCCCCACACACTCGCAGGCAAGGTGCGGGTGGCCATCCTGCGGGAGGAGGGCAGCAACGGCGACCGCGAGATGGCGGCGGCGGTGTGGGCGGCGGGCATGGAGCCCTGGGACCTGCACATGAGCGACCTGCTGGCGGGGGGGGCCACCCTGGATGACTTCCAAGGCCTGGTGTTTGTGGGCGGCTTCAGGTGAGGCGCCGGCTGCCGCGCCGGGGTGCTGGCTGTTGGGCGTTGGCCGGCTTGGGGCGGGGGTGTCAGGGGTGGGGCGGGAGCGGGGCGGGGTCGGGGTGGTGGGTAGTTTTTTAGGGGCTGTCTGTGCGTGTGGCGCGGGCGGCCCAGGGCCCGGTGCTTGTGGGGGAGCTTCAGGTGGTGGGGCGCCGGTTGCTGGTGCGGGTTGGCGGGGGCTGGCCGGGGGCGTGCGCTGGGCCTGGCTGGGCGCACGCCGCCGCCCTTGCCCCTCCTCGCTTCTCACGTCCCTCCTCCTCACCCCGCTGCATCCCTGCTTCCCACCCATCGCGCGTCCCACCCCCCCACCCCACCCCACCCCACCCCACCCCACGCAGCTACGCCGACGTCATGGATTCCGCCAAGGGCTGGGCCGGCACCATCCGCTTCAACGACCGCCTTTGGTCCCAGTTCCAGCGCTTCTACGCCCGCCCAGACACCTTCTCCCTGGGCGTCTGCAACGGCTGCCAGCTCATGGCGCTGCTGGGATGGGTTCCCGCCTCCGGCGCCGCCGCTGCTGCTGGCGGCGGCGCCGAGGGCGCCGCGCCGCTGCTCGAGGACGCGCGGCAGCCGCGGTTTGTGCACAACGCGTCGGGGCGGTTTGAGTCGCGCTGGGCCATGGTGCGGGTGGAGGAGGGCAGCCCCGCGGTGATGCTGCGCGGCATGGCGGGGGCGCAGCTGGGGGTGTGGTGCGCGCACGGCGAGGGGCGGGCGCACTTCCCCGACGCCGCTGTGCGGGCGCGGGTGGAGGCCGAGGCGCTGGCGCCCATCAGGTGGGCCCAGGCGCAGGCGCTGCGCTGGCTGGGGCGCTGTTGTTCTGCGAGGTGTTTGTTTTGGTTTTGTTGTGCCCAAGGGATGCTGGCTTGGGTGCCGTGGATTGGGGCAGCAGGCAGCACTGCCGCAATGCCGGGTGGGTGGAAGCGCGCCAGCCCTGCCGCGGCGCCGACGTGCGCCGCCTGGTACCGCCTCGTACCGCAGGTACTGCGACGCCAAGGGCGCGCCCACCGAGCAGTACCCCTTCAACCCCAACGGCTCCCCCGCCGGCATCGCCGCGCTCTGCTCCCCCGACGGCCGCCACCTGGCCATGATGCCGCACCCCGAGCGCTGCTTCCTGGCCTGGCAGCTGCCCTGGTACCCGCGGGGGATGGAGGGGCTGGAGGCCGCATGCCCGGGGCCCTGGCTCAAGCTATTCCAGAACGCCCGCGAGTGGTGCGAGGCGCAGGCGTGAGGCCCAAGCCCAGCCGGCCAGCCGCCCTTGCTGAGCCGCCGCCAACGAGTGACGCCGCACTTCAGCAACCAACTTTAAGCACTCACACACAGCTGCATGCCTGCACTGCCAGGCGTCTCCTGTCCGTACCATCCTTCCTGCCCTGCTGCGGTGGGAGCTTTGCCACCCCACACCCCGTTTCCGGCCGCACTGACCAGCCCCGCAGCAGGCCCAGGCGTGGGCGCCAGTCAAATCTGGATCCGGCTGTTGTTATCTGGGGTGCGGCTCTGGAGACTCACAACCAGTCATCAATGCGCTGTGCCACGCCAAACCTTCTGCACCTGACTGTAAGCTATGCGTGACATGCAGCTGCTGCAGAAGTGTAGTGACGCCAGTCCGGTCAACTCGACCGGGGCAAGGAAAGCCAATTGACATGCACAGGCTGCACACGTGCACAATGGGAGGCCTTGATGCATGAGCATACAGTGCAAAAGAAGCGCAGAACAAAGGCAAACCGCCACGCAGCTAACTCTCCAGCGGCGGGAATGAGCATCAAACAGGGCGTGTGCTCCTGTGCACTCGATTGCGCTGTTGGCTGTCGCCCAGCGATCAGTGGAACAGATTAGGCACGTGCAAGTCGAGCAAGGAATGCTGGTCCCACGCCATCCTGCTGGCGCCTCGCTGGCGGCGGTGCCCCTGACCTTGTGCCAGCAAGTTCGTTCAAAAAGCGAATGGCGCAACGCACAGTCGTCGCTGCACATTCGGCGGCCTATCGCAGAACAAAGCCACGCCCTTTGATCAGTCAAAGCCCTGTCCTTTCATTGCCATGGGGCTCATAAGCTAGAGCATTCAACTAGGTGTGCCTCAGAGCGGTTCGCTTGACTTGTCGAAGGTTTTGCACATGTGCTGCCGCCGTCGCATGGGAATGAGCTACCGCTGCCGCCTCCCGCTGAACACGGCTGCTGCCACCTGCTGTCTGGCAGCGCCCCTCCCTGCAAACAGACTGCACAGCCTGTGTACCGCTAGCGCAAACCGACTGCATGCTGCTGTCATGCTGCAGCGGTCTACTCTTCTTTGGGGCTGTAAGAGGATGGAGGTGACGGTTAGGCCCGAGCCACCCAAGATGTTGGCGGTCGGCAGCCGGGTGCTGGCGCTCATGCTCACGGGCATCCTCGGGACCATGTGGGCAGGCGGGCACACTGCCGAAAGCAATAGAGAGATGGAGAGGGTGCTTCTGAGCCGGGTGCGTGTGTGCCCACCAGCCCCCGCAAAGGCACTGCCCAGAGCGCCCCATTGCCCGCTGCACCAGCACTGTCCCCGCTGACCGCTCTGCCCACACAACTGCAGGCGTCATCTGCTGCTGCGGCCCTGCATGCCCAAGAGCAGCTGCTTTCCAGCCTGCCCCTGCCACACAAGCTGAAAGGGGCCGCCAACACCACAGCAGCAGTCCACGCCGCTTACCTGGACCTGGCCGCACGCTTCCTGCCGCCGCACTTCATTCACAGCAACATGAACGACGCTGCCGCCACGGAACGCCTGTGCGGCCTGCTCCTGGCTAACGGCACGAGAGTGGTGCTGGTGGGCAACGGCCCGCTCAGCGACGACGACCGTGCCGCCATCGACGCCGCCCCCACCGTCGTGCGCTTCAACGATTTGTACCACATGCGGCGCGGGGAGCGCAACACATTGTGGGTGCTGACCACCAGCCAGGTCCAGGCATCGACATTCCGCAAAGCAAACAAGCTGGCGAAGGGCGCTCGTGCGGCACTGCTCTTCACCAACCGGGCCATCCAGCCTGCCGACGAGGTGGCGGCAGCATGGAAGGCGCTAGGTGTGGGTGAGCGGCGCGTGGCGGAGGTTCGCTACAGCTGGCACAACCCCTTTGCGCGGCGGGTGGGCGAGCTGCTCAACATGAGTGGCACGCGCGTGACCACGGGCTTCAGCACGCTGAACCTCATCCTTCACTGCCTGCCGCCCGAGGGGCGAGTGGACCTATATGGCTTTAGCTTCGTGCTCCGCCCCGACGCGGTCGCACGCGGCATTCACAGCGGGGGCATGGAGGCCGCCGTGGTGCGACTTGCGCAGCAAATGCTGCCAGACCGGCTGCGCATCCATGAGACGCCGTGCACCGGCTTCCGCAGCTGCCCTTCCTGAGATGGATTGTAAAGCAAGCTTTGCTGCATTGCAATGGGTCCGCTGTCAACAGGGTGCACCAGAGAGCAGCGCAGCAGAGCGGGGCGGGAGGTGAGCAGGCGCTTGCAAGGGGGAGCAGTTTGGCACCCATGCCCGGGCGTGGGTCTCACGGAAGATTAGGCATGCTTGTCTCCCGGTAGCAAAAGGAGTCCACTCAGGCCAAGCTGGGTAAGGCTCGGGGCACAATTGCTTTGCACGCCCTTCCGGCCTCAGGTCGGCCGGTGTGCGGCTACCCGCCGCGAGAGTGGCCTGCACAGCAGGTCTGCAAGCATCCCCGTAGTCCCAGTCGATTCACTACCTTGTGGATCGACTCGTGACTAAGGGGGGTGGGTTTGCCTGGAGCCATGTAGTATATGCGTTGCGCCCTTTCAGTTTGTGTTCACATCAATACCGCCGCCCGCCGCGGCGTGCCGCTCAACACCTGCTGGCACACCGACAACTTTGGGGGCAGCGGCATGCATCTGTGAGGATGCACTGAGGAATCACAGGGTTTGCGTGATCCAAAACTTGCAGAGGAGGAAGATCTCCGTGCACCGGTTGTTGAAGAGAAGTCAAAAATTGCCGAGGGCGGCCGCCGCTTACCATCTCATATTCTACATCATACCATAAGAGGAGCGTGCAGCAGCAGTGGCAGTGTGTAGGCAGTAAGGGCCGCCGAGGCCCAAGGCGGCAACCATGCAGGCGCCGGCACCTGAGCGCAAGCCGCGTACCTTGGGCATGCTGGTGTTGGGCGTGGCCGCCATGGCAGGCCTGCTCCTATTGGCGGTGGCCCACAGCTCGGCTGGCAGCGTTGGCTACCTCTCCTCGCCCTCCCAGCTCGTGTCCACCCTCACCGCAGCCTCCCTTACGGGAATGGACGAGAATAGTGGCGTTGTGAGTGGCGCCGCGGGTGCTGGGCGCCGGGGCGACCTGCGCCGCGCCAGCGGCGGCGGTTGGCGGCAGCACCCGCCGCCGCGTTTGTGCGCTGGCGGCTGGCCAGTCCGAGCTCGGTCACGCGTGCCACCCAGGCCGTCTGTCCCCTGCAGGCTTCCGCCTCAAACCCCGCCCGCTGCTGCCTGCCGCCGTGCAGAACTCTCCTGTTAGCGACATTGGGTCGAGCTTCTACGACGCCGCCGTCGTGTCGCAGACCGACAAGGTGACGGCGGCCAATGCCAGCGGCGGCCACGCCACCCACCACTACGAATACATCTACCAGAAGTACCTGGGGCACCTCAACCCGCGCACCCCGCTGCGGCTGCTGGAGATTGGGCTGGGGTACGGCATGCCGCCGCCGCACGTGGCAGGGTCGAGCTTGCAGGTGGGGCCCGGCCGTGCGGCCGCTGGCTGGTGCCAGCCGGTTGCTGCCACAGTGTGTTGTCTTTCACAAACGCTGCTGCAGCGCCGCTGCGGCTTGTGTCTCTTCTGCGCCCTGCCGCCCGCACCGCCTGCCTCTGCCTGCCGCTGCGCGCATGGGAGGCAGTGCTTGGCGGAGCAGGTTGCCTCCGCCACGGCACGCCGCGCTGCGCTCGAGCGGGGCCTTGAGCGAGCATGCATGGCCCTGCACGGCCACGCAGCCGTCGCGCTTCCCTGCGCTGCCTCCGCCGCGCGGTGCCGCGCTCACCCCGCGCCGCGCGCCGCCGCCGTGCTGCGCCGCCGCCTCCCTGCCGCAGCTGTGGCGTGCCTACTTCCCCAACGCCGCCATCAGCTTCATCGAATTGCACGAGGGGACTGCGGAGGAGTTCCGGGAGGAGATTGAGGAGACGGGGGGCAACATCTTTGTGGGCAGCCAGTCCGACCCGGACGTCATGGCGCAGGTTCGGCTCCTGGCGCTGGCCACCGGCGGCTTTGACGTCATCATCGACGACGGAGGTGCGGGGGCGGAGGGACAGGGAGGGAACGGGGAGGGAGCAGGGAGGGAGGGCAGGGGAGGGAGGGAGGGGAGGGAGTGTGAGCCTGCCTCCCAGTGAGTGCGGCGTGTGGGTGAGGAGGGGAGCAGCGCCAGGCTGCCCATGCCCCGCGCCTGTCTACCACCGCTGCCTGTGCCCGCTGCCCTGCTGCCACCACTGCCTGTGCCCTGCGCCTGTCTCCCACCGCTGCCTGTGCCCGCTGCCCTGCCGCAGGCCACATCCCGGCGGACCAGCGGCGCTCGTTCGAGGGCCTGTGGCCGGCGGTGCGGCCCGGCGGCGTGTACTTTGTGAGTGCCGGCTGGCCGGCCTGCTGGCCGCTGGGACAGCAGGGCGTGCATGGGATGGGGGCAGGAGAGCACGGCGGTTGCGGCTGCGGTACACTGCTTGTTGTCCCTGCTGCTGCTGCTGCCGTGCTGGTGCTGGTGTCGTTGCTGCCGTCGCTGCTGTCGTTGCTGGCGGCGCCCCCGCCTGCGGCTGCACCCCCTGCCCGACTCCCCTGGCCCGCCCCTGCCCCCCGTTGCGCCACCTGGCGCGAGCGCAGGTTGAGGACCTGCTGACGTCGTACTGGGAGGAGTGGGCCAAGACGCCCAAGGAGGACTCCATCATGGCCTTTGTGAAGCAGGCCATCGACGCCATGAACTGCCACAGCGTGGAGCCGGGGCCCAACGCGCAGCGGTGGAAGAAGTTCTGCGATGTGGAGCACCTGGGCAAGAGCTTTGCCTCCCTGGACTGTGCACCCGAGATCTGCGCGGCGGTGAAGGCGCGGGAGTAGGCCGGGGGGCGCCGCGCCCGCCGACATGTAGCCCCTGCTTGCGCTCACCTCTCCCCGCCGTCCTCCCTGTTGGCTGTTTTTTCCCTCCCTGCTCTGCTTCCGCTCCCGCTGCCGCTCCTGACCCGCTCTGTTTTTGCCCACGCATACACGCTCGAGCTGCCCCACTGACTGACCCTGCCTACACTATGCCGTGATTCCATTGGCTGACACATTGTTTGACAGAACTTAAAAACACAGAGGCAAGGTTGCTGAGGCGGGGTGCCGCAGGGGCGGCATGAATGCACAGCTGGCAACAGTGCGACCTGTTGCAACTTCGTGAGCAGCAGTACAGCCGAGATGACCGCATTTTAGACTAATTGCTCATGAGTGAAGCCTGTGGGCTGTCCCTGCCTCCATGATTGTTTGACTTGCGGCCCACCCGCCCAGCAGAACAGGATGCCCCCCGGCGCCTCTGCTGCGGTCTCCGACACGCGAGAGGCCAGGCTCAGCAAGCTCAAGCTGGCCAGGAGCCGCCAGGTGCAGGGCCCCACGCACACATCGCCACCGCAGGGCCTTGGACGCGGCGGCGGGGGGCCAGCCGCGAGCCGACCGCATGCAGCAGCCAGCCAGGGGTCTAGCGCCCCTGGGCGGAAGGACCCGCAGGCTCCCGCCGGTGGCGGCGGCGGCGGCGGCGACGGCACCCGAGAGGAAGCGCTAGCACACGCGGCGCGCTTGGAGGCAAGCCCAGGCCCACCTGCACCCTCATCTGCATCGACATGAGCCTGTCCCGGCCGTGGCAATGAGCAATGGAAACACCTCTTCAGCCCACCACCTCTGTAGATTCTCCCTTCTCCTCTTCCCGCCGCCGCGCGTCGCAGGGCGCCAACCAGCGGCTGAGGGAGGGCCTGCACGAGGCGCGGCAGCAGCTGGAGGCGGTGCACGCGCAGCTGGCGGCCCTGCAGGGCCTGCAGCAGCGGCTGGAGGAGGGCACACCCGGGGCGGAAGAGCTGGCGGCGGCGGCGGTGGAGCAGGAGCGGGCGGCGCAGGCGGCCCGCGACGCTCATGTGCTGCACCTGCTGCGCTCCAAGGTGGGAAGGGAACACCACACCACACCACACTACACCACACCACACCACATCATACCGGCAGCGGCGGCAGGCTGCAGCGTATGTGGCTCGCTTGCGGCGGCAGAGCAGGCGGGGTGGCGTCGTGGATCGTTGCCGCTGGTGCGGGGCTGGCCGGGGCCTGTGCTTGCCTGCACATGCCTGCCACCTGCTGCCCGCCTGCCTCGGGTGTGCAGGATGAGGTGATAGAGAGCTTCGAGGCGCGGTACGCCGAGAGCCGTGCGGAAGCCGCGCAGTACCACGACCAGCTGGCAGACGCGCGGCAGCAGCTGGACGGCAGCCAGGTGCGGGTGCGGGAGCTGCTGGAGGCGCAGGCCAGGCAGCGGCAGGCGGCGGAGGTGGCGGCGGCGGCGGCGGCGGACGCCGAGGCGGCGCTGAGGGCGGAGGCGGCGCACCTTCAGGTGGGGCAGGCAGGCAGGCGGGGCGGGCGAATCTCTGTGTTTGTGTGTTTGTGTGTGTGTGTGTGTGTGTGTTTGTCCTGAGTGTTCCCAGCACGCCCCGCCAGCACACCGCGCTCTGCACTACAGCGGCGGCGGCGGCGGCAAGGCCTCACGCGTGCCGGCGCACCGCAGCGGCCCAATGATCCGCCGCCGCCGCCGCCGCCGCTGCTGCCCTCGCTGCTGGCGCTGCGTGCAGGCGGAGGCGGCGCATGCCGCGCCGCTGCGTCAGCGTGTGCAGGCGCTTGAGGGGCAGCTGGAGGGTACGAGGGAGGAGCTGGGGGCCGCCCGCCGCCAGCTGCACACCCTGTCGGACATGGTGGATGCAGCCAACGACGCCATTCTGGTGCGTGGCGGCCCGCCAGGCCCGCCTGGTGCCTGCCTGCCTGCCTGCCTGCCTGCCTCCTTGCCCGCCCCCACGGCCCCCTGCATCGCCGCCTGGGGCTGGCATGGGGGTGCCCTCCCAGCCACCTGGGCCGGCTTCTGGGCGCCTGGCACCCAGCCGCCCTCGGCCTCCTCCCGGGGCCCCACGCTTGCCGCCGCCCGCCTGCCGCCGCCCGCCTGCCGCCGCCGCACTGCAGGAGGTGCAAGCGCTGCTGGGGAATCGGGATCGGGAGGTGGAGCGCAAAGATGAGGAACTGGGGGCCTTGCACCGCCACCTGGCGCAGCTGCTGGGCCTGCCCCGGCGGGACGCCGCCGTGCAGCACCAAGTGCGCATCGGCGGCGGCGGCGGCGGCGGCGGCGCGGCCACGGAGCCGGCGGCCGCGGCCAGGATAGCGGCGCTGGAGGTGTGTGTGTGCGGGCTGGGGGCGAGGCAGGTGGCTGGCCGGCGGCCGCGTGGCAGCTGCGCGGCAGCGGCCAGCAAGGGGGCAAGGGTTAGCACCTTGGCACCAGTGTGCCTCTCTCAGCCTGGCCGCCACCGTTGTGGTGCGCCGGCCTGCCTGCCTGCCAGGCTGGCATGCCATGGCACCCACTGCGCCTGCATTCCACCTTGGCCCTGGCCCTGCCCTGTGCAGGCCGCCAACGAGCGGCTGGAGCAGGCACTGGTGGAGGCCACTCGCCGGGGCGGCGGCGGCGGCGGCGGCGGCGGCGGCGAGCCCTGGGCTGCCGCCGGCGCCGGCCGCGGTGGTGGGGCTGGTGGTGGGAGTGAGGAGGGGGAGGAGGAGGAGGTGACTGTGGGGCAGCTGACCGCCCAGCTGGCGCTGGCCGCAGGCAGGGAGCAGGCTGCCGAGGAGCGTGTGCAGCAGCTGGAGAGGCTGCTCAAGGTGCGCAGGAGGCTCGCAGCGGCGCCTGCTGGCTGCGCTGCCTGTGCCTGATCTGCCGCTGCTTTTGGCAATGGCGCACGGCAGCGCTGCTGCCGTGCCTCTGTGCTGGCTGCCGCTTCGCCGCCAGCCTGCAATGCCCTGGTGTGTTGGCGGTCCCGCCTGGTACCGCAGGTGGCAGAGGCCACGGTACTGCACAACGAGGTGCAGCTGCAGGAGAGCTTGGAGGGCCGCTTGCGGGCTGAGGAGCAGGTGCGGGGGCTGGGCCTGCCCCGCCTTGCTTCGCTTCCGCACCTCAAATGCTGTGCTCCGCCCACCTGCGCCTGCCTTTCATCCCAGGGCCTTTGCTGTGCTGGCTCCGCCTGCCGTGCTTCTGTGGCAGCGCGGCTGCTGCACGTGTGTGCTGCAGGTTGGCAGGCTGCACGCCAAAGCAAGCTGCACGCACGCAAGCAAGCTGGTGTGTGCCCTGGGCGGGATGCCGTGCTGCAGGTGCATGGCCTGAGGCTGGAGCTGGAGGACGGACAGGCCCTGCTGGCACAACTGAGTGCCCAGCTTGGTGAGCTGGCAGCTGCGGAGGCGGCGGCGCGGGAGGAGGCGGCCGCGGTGCGGGGCGCGCTGCGGGCAGCAGTGGCCGAGCTGGAGCGGCAGGCTGCGGGCAGCGAGGGGCTTCAGCCTGTGGCGGCCAGCCAGCAGGAACTGGCTGAGGGGGGGCAGCCTGTGCAGCAGCAGGACGGCGGCACCGGCGCCGGAGACAACCGCAGCGTCAGTGCGGCAGGCGGCAGCCTTGGCAGGCGGCAGGCCCCAGGGGGCGGCCATCAAGAGGCAGCGGCAGGTGTGGGCGTGCTCGTGCGGCGCATCCGCGCTCTGGAGCAGCAAGTGGAGCAGCAGCAGGCGGCGGCACGGGAGGCGGCGGCGGCGGCGGCGGCTGTGCAGCAGCAGCAGCAGGCCGCTGCTGCTGCCGCTCCGGCTGTGCAGGCTGCCGGGGTGCAGTGCGATTCCCCCAGCAAGCGCAGCGCTGCGGTGCAGACCCCACCAGAGGCAGAGCCGGCTGGCGGCGAGTGCGCGGCAGCCGGCGGCGACGGCGCGGATGGCGCGGCGAGTGGCACTGGGGCGTGCTACGGCCAGCCCAGCCCCCGGCACCAGCAGGTGGCGCAGCTGACGGCCCAGCTGGCGGCTGCCAGGCTGGCGGAAGTGGGGGCCAAGGCAGAGCTTGCTGCGGTGGAGGCTCGCCTGCAGGAGGCGCAGCAGCAGGTGCCCTCACTTCACTCTGCCACTTGCTTGGTACAGGGGGAGGTGTGGAGGCACCCGTTTGCACCATGGGGCGTGCTTGCCAGCCTGCTTGTGGTGCCGGGTGTCACGCCTCCGCCGCAGCTTGCACACCGCCTGGGTTTGGCTGGCTGCCTCCCCGCCTCGTGCAGCTGGAGCAGCAGGAGCAGCAGCAGCAGCAACGTGCAAGCTGCGGCGAGCCTGCCGGTGCTGCCGAGGCGCCCGTGCACGGCGAAGAGTGTGCGTGCCCGGCGGCAGAGCAGCTGCGAGCTGAGCGCAGGCAGCTGCAGGAGGAGTTGCGGCGCCTGGGCGGCTGCGTGGCGGCGGCAGAGGCGGCGGCAGAGGCGCGGCTGGCGCGCGCGGGCGCAGCGGCGCAGGCGCGGCAGCAGGTGGGGCGCGGCGGCGGTGGGCCATGCTTGCCGCGCCTTGTGCCGCCCTCACTGCGTCCTGCCCTAGCAGCCACGTTGGCAGAGGCCGGTGCCGCTGCGGGCAGGCCGCAAGCATTCCCGCAAGCCCAAGCTTTTCGTGAGCTGTCCCTCGCCGCCGCTTGGCCCCTGTGTGGATGTGCCTGCAGGCTTTGCGGGATAAGGTGGCGGCGCTGGAGCCGGGCAGGACCGAAGCCAGCGAGCTGCGCAGCAGCGCCTATGCCGCCGTGCACCGGCTGCAGCGGGCGCTGCGAGAGCACGGGCGCGGCGACGCCGCCGCCGCGCCCGCCGACGGCGGCGAGCGCGAGGCGGCGGCGGCGCCGCTGCCGGGGCAGCTGAGGCGGGCCGTGGACGGGTTGCTCGTGCTGCTGCAGGTGCCGTCCTGCGCCGGCAGGGCGGCTGGCTGCTGCGCTGCGCTGCGCTGGTGCTGCGCTATGCTGTGCGCTGTGCTGCTTGGGCTCCCCATGCTGCCCGCCTGCCTGCCTCCATCCCGTGTCCTCTTCAGTCCATGTGTGTTTGCTTTTGCACAGACTGCAGCAGCCTCTCATCTCCATTTATGCCTCATGCCGGCATGTGCAGGAGCATGGGCAGCTGGTGGCCGCTTTCCAGCTCCACCTCCTGCACCAGCAGCAGCAGCAGGGGCAGCAGCAGGGGCAGCAGGGGCAGCCGGCGGCAGGGCCTGCAGGCGCCACGTCAGCGGCCGCCACGTCAGCGGCAGCAGCAGCGGTAGCCGCGGCCGCGGCCAGTGCCGGCGGCGGCGGTGGCGGCGGCGGCGGCGGCCTGTCTCTGGAGGCCTCCCAGAGGGCGGTGATCCGCTCGCTGGCGGCGCAGGTGGTGCAGCTGCTGCAGCGCAGGCCGGAGCGCGGGGCTGCCGCCGTGGCACGGCGGCACCCTCGGGAGCATGTGGGAGGCGCGCCACGGCCCTCCCCGGCGGCGCCGTGCCGCGACAGGGAGGCTGCCGCAGCAGGAGAGGCAGGCACCCCCACCTCGGCAGCTTCGCTGCCGCCCGCGGCGGCATGGGAAGCAGGCAGCCCGGCCAGCGGCGGCGGCCAGGGGCCGGCGGGCTGGCGGCACCAGGCCAGCGGCGCGGCGGCGGATGCCTCTCAGTTGTTGGGCCTGTTTGGCCTGCTCAGCCAGCAGCTGGCCGGGCTGGCAGCCGTGCAGCAGCAGCTGGAATCCGCTGTCGGCGGCGGCACGCCTGGCAGCCCCGCAGCTGGCGGCGCCGGCGGCTCTCCAGAGGCCCTGCCAGAGGCGGCGCACGCGGCGGCGGTGCTGGGTGCGGAGCTGCCCGCGCTCCAGGCCACCGCTGCGGTGATGGAGGCTGAAGTGCGGCGCGTGGCGGCGGCGGCGGCGACGGCGGCCACAGGTGTGCATAAGCCTGGGAGCGTGTGTGCGGCTGTGGAAAGAGCGGCAGCTTGGCGGGCTGGCGGGTGCATGTGCCTGCATGCTTGGTGGGCAGGTTTGAGGCTGCCCCCAGGTTTGCTGCCATGTAAGCGCCCCCACCACGTGCCTGCCTGCCTGTCACTGCGTGCAGGCGCCGCGCCGGGGCTGGTGGGGCCTGCCGGCGTGCAGCCGCCGGCGGCAGGTGCGCCGGCCGCAGCGGCTGCGGCTGACGCCGCCCGGCGCAAGCAGAAGTGGAAAGCGCGGTGCAAGGAGGCGCAGGCGCAGCTGGCGGGCGCCACGTCAGCGGCGCAGCAGGCGGAGGCCGGCCTACGGGCGCAGCTGGCCGCTGCCGAGCGCGGCGCGGCGCAGCAGGCGGCGCAGCAGGCGGGCGCGGTGCAGGCGCTGCAGGCGCGGGTGGAGGAGCTGGCGACAGCTGGCGCCGCGCTGCAGGCATCCCTGCACGGCACCGCGCACCAGCTGGCAGAGGCTGGCGCTGCGGCCGAGGGGCTGCAGGCGCAGCTGGAGGGCCAGCGGCGGCAGCACCAGGCTGAGCTGGCGGAGGCTGGCGCCCGCCTGGCAGCCGCCCAGGTGAGCCCAGGAGCTGGTGGGGAGCTCCTGCCGTGCTGCGACCAATTGCCCGCTTGCCGCAACGTGCGGCACGCGGCCCCTGGTGCAAGCACCGTGACCGCACGCCGGCCTGTGCCTGTGTATGTATGGGCTCGCTCCGGCCCTCCCGCAAAGACGCAAAATAACAAACCAGCCCAGCAGCCATGGCAACCTGACGGCCACACACACACCGCCCCTGCTTCCACTCCCCCTGAGCGCAGGCTGAGCTGGAGGGGGAGCGGCGGCGCCACGCCGGCCTGGCCGCCGGGCTGCAGGAGATGGCGGCGGGGCTGCAGAGCAGCGGGGACGCCGAGGGGCAGCTGCGGTACCGCCTGGCGGAGCTGGCCGAGCGGGTGGCGGTCCTGACCGCCGCACAGGTGTGTGTGTGGTGGTGGTGGTGAGGGGGAGCGAGGCGCTGGTGCGGGTCGGTGCCTGTCAGCCTGGAGTGGCCGCCTGTGCTTCACTGCCTGCATCCTGCTGCGCCGCGGGGCCTCGGGGCCAGCCCCAGTCAAGCCGCCCTCTGCCCGCACCGCTCTGCTCTGCCCACCTCTGCCTGCTCTGCCTGCCCAGCGCTGCCTGCTGCCCCGCCAGGGATGAAGCCGTGCCGCTGCTGATCCTAGCCTCCCTCTCTCAACTCCTCTCCCTGTGCACCTCCCCACTTTGCCTCCACTCCCTCCACTCCTCTCCCTGCCTTCTCTTCACTCCGCTCCCCTATGTGCGGCCTCCCGTCCCGCAGGAGGCAGCCCAGGCACAGGCGGAGCAGCAGCAGGCGGCGCTGTGCGAGGCGGCGGCGGAGGCGGAGGCGGCCCGCGCGGCACACGCCCGCCTGGCGGCAGACAGCCGGCGGCGGGAGGCTGAGCTGGCGGGGCGCCTGACGGCCATGCAGCGGGAGTGCGGCGCGCTGCTGGAGACGGCGGCGCGAGCGGAGGAGCAGCACGGAGAGGTGCGCCGGCTGCGGCCGCTGTGGCTTGCTGTGTGGCTGCAGCGCCCTGATACCGCAGCGGCTTGCTCATCGCAGCGCGCAGGCAGCGGCCGTGATGTGCAGCGCTTGCGCTTTGGCTGGCGGCGGCTGGCTGGCGGCGGCGCTGCACACACACACACACGCTCTCGCCTGGCTGCCAAGCTTGCCGCCCCCACCTGCCGCTTCACTCCGTTCCGTCCCCACCTGCCCGCCTGCTTGCTGCTCGCCTGTGCCTGGTTAGCAGGTGGAGCAGCGGCTGCAGGCGCAGGTGGCGCTGCTGGGTGCCAGGCTGGACCAGCTTGGCGACGACGAGGCTGCGCGCTTTCCTCCCCTGGACGCATCCCTTGGCAAGCTGCAGGCCTCTGCCGAGGGGCTGGAGGTCCGGCTGCTGCGGCTGGAGGCGGCGGCGGCGGTGGCGGCGCAGGACCGGCAGGCGGCGGCGGCGGCGCGGTGGGCGGCGCTGGTTCGGGGCCGGCGGTACCGCTCTGCGGTACAGCAGCTGCGGGACGGGCTCCAGGCGCAGCTCCTGGACGCGCAGGCGGCCTGCCAGCAGCAGCAGGCGCAGCTGCGGCAGCTGCGGGGCCAGCTGGAAGCTGCCCGAGACGAGTGCTCGGGCCAGCGCTCCCAGCTGCAGGCAGCCCTGCTGCAGCACCAGCGCGAGATGCAGGCGGCGCAGCAGGAGCGGCAGCAGGAGGTGGCTGAGGTGGCGCAGCAGGCGCAGCAGGAGGTGGCGGCGGCGCGGCACGCGGGCGAGGCGGCGGCTGCGGCGGCGGCGGCCGAGGCCGAGCAGCGCTGCAGTGTGGAGATGGCGGCGAGAGCATGCCAGGCGGAGCAGCGGGCGGCGGCGGAGGCGGCGGCGGCCGAGGCGCAGTACGGGGCGGTACAGGCAGAGGTGGAAAGCGTGAGGGAGGAGTTCCGGCGGTACCGTGCCATGAAGGCGGTGGAGGTGCAGCTGCTGGAGCAGCGGGTACTGCAGCAGCTGCACGGCGGCTCCAACGCTGCCAGCAGCAGCAAGGCGGCGGCTGGCAAGCCGGGGGCCCAGCCTGCCGGGCGCCCCGCCCCGCGCCAGCAGCCGCTGGATGGCAGCAGCAGCCCTGGCGGTGCCACTGTTACAGCTGCTGAGGAGCTGCAGGCGGCATGCCGGCAGGAGGGCATCGCCGCTGCGCTGCGCGAGGCGCGGCTGGAGCGGCTGCACCGGGAGCAGGTGGAAAGCGAGCTGGCGGCGGCCGCGGCAGCCGCCGAGCAGCTGGGCGCGCGGGCGAGGGCCGCGGAGCGGCAGCTGGCCGCCGCCGGCAGCCGCCAGGCGGGCGAGTGCGGGCAGCTGCGGGAGCGCTGCGAGCGGCTGGCTGCTGAGCTGGCAGACTGCCAGCAGGCGCTGCGCCTGGCCAAGGCCGAGGGCGGGCGGCGGCTGAAGGAGCTGCAAGCGCTGCAGCGCGCGGCGGCGGCGGCCGCGGACGAGAACGGCGGCGCCAACGGCGGCGGCGCGGCGGCGGCGGCGGCGCAGCTGGAGGCTGAGCAGCGGGCGCGGGCGGCGGCAGATGCGCAGCTGCGGGAGGCGCGCCAGTCCCTGGCCCGCAAGGCCGGGCTAGTCCAGGAGCTGCGGGCAAAGGTGGGTGGGTGGGTGGGGCAGGGCGGGCGCTGGTGTGCTGGAGGCTGGCAGTTGGTGCTGGGGGCTGGTGCTGGGTCGGGGTGGGCTGCGGCAGGGCCCACAGCTCGATGGAGCAGCAGCGGTGCTGGGGTGGCGCTGTGGTGGCACTGGGCACGCTGGGCACGCTGCCAGGCAGCCCCTCGCGCCTCCTTCCTCCCCCCCCGCCGTGTCCTGGCCCCCCACTTGCCTTGCCTTGCCTTGCCTGCCTGCCCTGCCTGCCTGCCTGGGCCCGCAGGTGGAGGGCTTGCAGCAGGCGGCTGCCGAGCTGGACCCCGCCCCGCTGGCGGCTGAGCTGGCGGCGTGCCAGGGGCGCCTGCGCGCCGCACAGGCCGCGTGCGCCAGCAGGGAGGCTGCGGTGCGGGAGCTGCGCCAGCGCCTGGACCAGCAGGCCAGGTGGGGGAGGGCTGGGTGGCGGCGGCGGGCTGGCAGGGGCCTGCAAGCGGGCTGGCAGGGGCCGGCAGGCTGCGGCGCGGGCTGCCTGCGCAAGCTCAGCTACATGCGGGCAAACACACCCCTGCTAGCTGCCCCAGAGGCTTCAATCCTGGGGACGCACCCAAGCCCCCGCGAGCATGCATGCATGCAAGCCGCCAGTCCAACGCAGACAGCGCCAAGCGGTTGCTTGCCCGGCGTGCCCGCTGTGCCTGCTGTGCCCGCTGTGCTGCCCCGCAGGCAGGCGCACCAGCAGGGCGTGGCGGAGGGGCGGGAGCAGCAGGAGGTGGTTGCCGGGCAGCTGCGCCGCCAGCTGGCGGAGCGGGAGGACCAGGTGGCGCAGCTCCACCAGCGGCTGCAGCAGGTGGGGTGGGGTGGAGTGTGGGGGTGTGCTGCCTCAGCAGGGGAGCAGGGCCCATGTGGCGGCTTGCAGCTTTATCAGTGGGAGTGCGCGGAAGGGAGCCCCTGGATCCGCATTCGCAATGCGCTCAAGTGTCCTGGGCTGCAGGCGTGGGCAGGGAGCGCATGTGTGGCCCCCTGCTGGCACCAGCGCGGGTGGGCAGCAAGTGCACGTGTGTGCTGATGGGGAGTTGTGTTGGTCCTGCTGACACCAGCGCTCCATCCTCCCCACTGCCGCCCCCGCCTGCAGGCGCACGGCCAGCTGGAGGCTGCATCCGCCGAGCTGCACGCCGCCGCCGCCGGCCGCGAGGCGGAGGGCGAGGGCGCCACCGCCCGGCTGGCAGCCGCCTGCGGCTGCTTGCGCCAGCTGGCCGCCGCGGCGCGCCAGCTGCTGGCCTGCCTGGCCCGGCTGGGCGGGCTGGCTGCTGCGGTGGGCGAGCAGGGCTGGGCCGCGCGGCCTGCCGACCCTCAGGTGCCTCCTCGCCTCCCGGCGCTGCCCGCTGGCCGCGCTCTGCTGCACTCCGCATTGCTCACTTACTAAGCCTTTATTACATGGGGCCAACTAGGGTGGCTAGCCCACCACCACGCAGCAGAACCTGGGCTCCTTTCCTCCTCACCCATACTGAAGACTGTGGCAGCTGGTAGCTGATCCTGGTGCCGGCCGACCCGCAGCGCTCGCTCTGCATTCGCTGCACCCGCAGGCCGAGGCACTGGCAGCCGCCGCTGGCGACATCGCCCAGCTGGTGGGTCTGGCCCCAGACGACGTGCGCTGCGTGCTGCTGCCTGGGCACAGCCCCCAGCCGGCGCCAGCAGCCGGCGGCGCGGCGGCCGCCATCGACGCCGCGGCGCGGCACGCCGAGGAGGCGCTGCAGCAGCTGGAAGCGGTGTGGGGCGCAGGGGACTGGCAAGCCAGCCAGGCCGGCTGCGCCGCGCTGCTGGGCACTGTTGCAGCGCTGGTCGAGCACTCCGCCAGGTGAGGCGGGCAACCCCAAAGCGTGGTTTGGCATGCCTTGTTTGCTGCTGAATGGGAGCTGCAGCCCTGATGTTTTTGCTGCGCATACACCTCTCGATCGATAGGCCTGCCAGCCTGGCACATGCTGCTGCCTGCGTGCAGGGCTCACTCGACGCTGGCATCCCTGTCGAGCCAGGCCAGCCAGGGGCCCGCGCCCGCCAGCTCCGCTTTCGGCGACCTGGAGCAGCAGCTGGCGGCTGCCGCGGCGGAAGTGGCGGCGCTCGAGGCGCGGATGGGGTGATGCCTCCATGCATCGCCTGCCGCCCTCCATTCCGTTTGTTGCTGATTGGCTTGTGCTTCACCACTGTTGACTGGAAGCCTCATTTCAGCCTACCCACAGTTTGATTTTAATGAACAGAGTTGGTGCAGCACTTGGAGAAATTGATACTGAAGAAGTAGCATGGGAGAGTTAACAGAAAAGTGTTAGAAAAAAATGGAAGGAGAGTAGAGGAGGGACCAGCAGCAGCACCCCCAGAGGAAGGAGCAGCACTTCGTTTGCTCAGTGTACAATGATCAGTCAAGAGCAGCCGCGACTGGATCCTGGTCTTGCTCATTCAAATGTTCAACAAGCCCTTCCCGCTGAGCTGGAACTTCTGGAATGCCTGGCAGCGCTCAAAGGCAGGCGTGAGCGACTGGGCATAGATGGAGTCGAGCAGCACGGGGCTGTGCGCCGCGATGCGCTCCAGCAAGCCGCACCGCATTTTCCTCCACTCTGGGGTCGCGCCGGTCTGGGCAGGGATGGGCGGCGGCGAGTCATAGTCGAACGAGCGCAGGAAAGCCTTTGCTTTGCCGCGCTGCTCCCAGATGTCGATGGTGTGGAAAAGCGGGTGGAAGCCGTCGAAGCGGCCAGTGAAGCCCTCTGGGTGCTTGACCTGGAGGCAGAGAGCTGGAGGCGGTGTGGGGAAGCGAGGGGCGGGGAGGGGCATCCCCAGGCAGGCGCAAGGCTGCCGACACGCAACTGCCCTGCTTTCTGCTGTCTGGCTTGGGTGTGCGAAACCCTCAGGTTTGTCAACACACCAATGCACTCCCCACCTCGCCCGCCACCCTTCATGCCACGTCCCACTCCACCTCCCCCACGCACCAGGATCACTGGGATGCCCATCGCTGCCGCCGGGACGCCGCAGTGCAGCCGCGTGGTGATGACGACTCCGGCCCGGGCGTACCGCGTCAGATGGTCAAAGGCGTGCCCGACCCTGAACATGCCGTCCATGGTGCGGTTGTCGTAGAGTTTGGCAGCCATTCTGCACGCCTTCCTGTTGATGGCCGGCGGCAGCAGGGGCAGCAGCTCGTCCGGGACGTCCACCAGCAGGACGGGGCACTCCGGTACCGCCCCCGGGCGCGCCACGCTCTCCAGCGTGGAGGTCAGGCACAGGCTGAGGTAGGAGCTGGCGGGCGGCATCTTGGCCTGCAGGAACCCCAGCGTCTGCGTGTCGCGGGTCCCCACAGGCGCATGAGCCTTCATGTATGCCAGGGAGTCTTTGGAACCAAACTCAGGGTACATGGGCGGGTAGAAGTGCATGGAGACCAGGATGGGGTCGATGAAGGCGGGAGCGGGCCAGAGAGTGCCGGTGGGCTTGTAGCCCTGCAGCATGGCAGGGGCAGCCGAGCCCTTGGCATCTCTGCGCCACCACGCGTGCGCACAGCACAGCACAGCGCAGCACAGCACAGCACCCTGCCGCACTGACATTGACAGAGTGCGGTGGCAGCGGCAGTACGCAGCCCATCATGCACGCATGCGCCAAGCATGCAAGCTTCCTCCAGCCTGCGGCAGCACGCCACCTCCTGCTGGGTGCCTGAGCTGCTTGCTGGCCTTCCAAATCCACCCAGTTGGCTCGCCCTGCCAGCAACGGGACTGGGTCACTCACCCAGAAGGCATTCATGATGAGCAGTATGGAGCCCTCCGCAGCTGTGGCAGGAGTCACTAGCGTCATGTTGTCCCTGTCGACACGGGCGTCAATGTATGGCAGCCACTGCACGGGGGTGCAGGTGGTCATGACTGGGGGTGGGTCTTGCTGGTGTGCTGATTGATTCGCCCTGCTTCAACCCAGCACAACCGCTCACCTGTGCAGCAGCCAGCATTTGCACCTCGTCGCCTGCAATGCAAAAGGCAGGCAGGGATTGGAATCGGCAGCTCCATTGCGGTACCCTGAAGCCACTCCACCAGTAGCCGGCGGCATTGCTGGCTTGCTACATCCCAGCGATTTACCCAAGTTCGGGCCATCTTTATGTGTGAGCTGGTAGCGCACAAGCGTGTCGTGCCACAGCACACCGTAGTGCTGCCCTGGGTTTGGAGAGAACACGGCTGGTCCTGCACTAAGCAGCAGCGACAACTCAGCAGCTGCGATTGTTTCCAGGAAGGCAACACACACCAGTGAGGCGCAGGGTGTGCCTGTGCCCTTACCATTGTCAAAGTCGATCCAGCTGTGGCCCCTCGGCGCTCTTGATGCAAAGGGGCACGAGCCTCGCCACTTCTGCTGCCCAGCCAACTCCAAAAAGCCTGCCGCCAAGTCGGCAATCGCTGCCCTGACCTTCTCATGGCCGCGGGGCGCATACAGGGTGACGGCCTGGCCGCCGACGTCTGCGCACCTGGGAGAGCCAGACGGGGGCGGCGCAGGCGCCCGCACAGTGCCGCCAAACTCCACCGCCGTCCCGCCGAACTCATGCAGGGCGGACAGAAGCACCATGCGTCGAAACAGCAGGGGGTATTTGACGCCTGACGCCACTTTGTTCCAGGTGTGGTTCCTGCTCACCAACAGAGGGGCAACGGCGGAGTGTCGGCGAGCAGGCGCAGGCGGCAGGCAACAGGCAGCGACAGCGGCTCAGCGGGCGCTGCTCACCGGAACCAACCGGCTGCGGGCGACTCGGCTCCTAGGAAATCCCTCACTGAGATCATGCTCACGTCCACGGATTCAGGAAGAGAGTAGCGGCTCTCGTAGCACGACAGCGTCATGCACAGCAACTTCACGACGCGCGCTGGTGCCGCCGCACCGCCGGAGCGCTGCGCCCCGGAGTGGGCGGCAGCCGATCTGACAGACTTCAGGGCTTCGCTCGAAAACGGAGTGGCTAGGTCGGTCCAAATGAAGAGCAGGTCGGCAGAGGAGTCTCTCGCAACAGGAGCGTCTGTCTGCGGGGCCCCGCTGCGGGGCAATGCCCCTTCCCGCCGGTTGCTGACAAGGAGCAGCAGCAGAGATATAATGACAAGCAGGGCCAAGCGAGGGCGCCTGACCCAACCCCCACCGTCAGGTGGGGGCAGCTTTCTCGAGGACATGGCTCTACGAGAAGCAAACGCGATCCATTCTGATGAATAGACGGAAACAGCACCCGAGGCTCTGCCAGACCTGCATGCGTACTGCGTATAAGTACTGACCTTGTCGACGAGCGCTCAAACACATTTTTGTTTCATCTGGGGTCTAACCCAGCGCCGCCCAGCACTGGGCAGAGCTCTGCTAAATTTCCCACCGACCAGTGCTGCCCAGCGCAAGTGCTGCAC